CCAGCCAGGGCTGATGGGTGTTTTAAGTGGGATATACAACAAACTGCTTATGTTTAAAGACCCTCTGACTGCTGGACAGAGGTTGAACTGGGCGGGGTGGGTGAGAATGGCAGTTGGGACACCTGTTAGTGGACAGTTGTGTCCAGGTAAGAGGTGATGGTGGCCTGGGTGATGGTGTTTACAGTGGGCATGAAGAGAAATGAGTAGGTTGAATATGCTGAGCAGGGAGGGCTGGTGAGACTTCAGCATAGATGAGATTTGTGGGGTGAGGGGGAGGAGAAAGGCCTGGTGGGAGCTAGGTTTCCAGACAACATGAGACTTAACCTCAGAGTTGCAGGACGAGCGGGGTGGGGGAAAGGAGAGGATGTTAGGACTCTGGAGAGAGGAGAGACATACGTGGTGGTGTTTAGTCTGTGCCATGGTTTGTGTGCCCAGTTACTCTTTGCAAGGAGTAGTGGAGACAGTGTTTCAGTGATCGGATTTGGACGGAGATTTTAGACAACTTGAAGTTTGTATAGCTGAGTTGCCATGATAGAGAGGTGAATTGAATTCATCTTTCCTTTCTGTTTCTTATTAACTGTTTGAGAAGAGAAGTAGAGATGTATTATAAAGTTATTTTGGAGAAATGACTGAACTTTGCCTGCCCAGAAATAGCTACCGTTAAGACAAAACCTAGCTGAGTTCTCCGCCGTTGGAACCTGAGCAGCCGGGCCACTTGACTGGTCTTCCTCCCCAGCTGTGGCGGTGCCCTCCCGCGCAGAGTAGGCACTGAACCGAGATAACTTTGTCTGGGCGTCTTACTTAAATTATACATTTAATGTTCTGATAGCTATACATTCATATCGTTCACATACTCAGATGCATGGTTTCCTCCCCACCATCCACCTCATTCCTCCAGGCCAGTCCCTACACTACTGAGCTTCTTGCTTTATTTACATTTTTGAGATCTTTCCATATCATTGTATAAAGAACTTCCTCTTTCTTTTGTTCCATCATATGGATATTCGAGGATTTATTTAATCAGTCTCTTATTGGTGAACATTTAGGTTGTTTCCAATTTTTCATTGCAGTGAATAGCCTTGTTCATACATCTGTTAAAGTGGGCAAGTATGACCGTTGGATCATTTCGTGAGTGCAGTTACTGGACAGAGGGGTGTGCTTTGAGGGTTTGACAAACTCTTCCCAGTTGTCCTTCATTGATGTCCCACCCACACGGCCCTCAGAGTACCTGGTTTCCTGCAGCATGGCTAATGGAGTGTGCTGTCCAGGTTTTGGCTTTGCAGATCCTGCCATGTTTTAGTATCTCTGGCCCTGGCCAGTTTGGCTCAGTGGTGAGAGCATCGGCCCGCGGTCCTGAGAGACCCGGGTTGGGTTCCCACTAAGGGCACGTACCTCGGTTGCAGTTCATCTCCGGCCCCGGTTGGGGTCGTGTGGGTGGCAGCCAGTCGATGTTTCTCTCTCCCTGTAGCTCTATCTGAAGATGAATGCAAAAATGTCCTTGGATGAGGATAAAAAAGAAAATAGTATCTCTGTGTAGTTTTATCTTTTATTTTTTTATCTTTTATATGTTGAAGGGTCTATTTTTCTTCTATGTGCATTCTCATTTTTCTTTTTCCATCTTCCTAAATAGGATGTTGGTCTTTTTAAAAATCTACATGTAGCACCCTGGCCGGTTTGGCTCAGAGATTAGAGCGTCGGCCTGTGGACCAAAGAGTCGTGGGTTCAATTCTGGCCAAGGGCATGCACCTTGGTTGTGGTTCATCCCTGGCCCTAGTCAGGTTTGTGTAGGATGCAGCCAATTGGTGTGTGTTTCTCTCACCCCCTCCCTCCCACTCCGTCTGAAGAAAAATGGAAAAAATATCCTCACGTGAGGATTTAAAAAAAAAAAAAAATCTACGTATAGGAATATTTTCTAAATTAGGAATATTAGCTGTTTGTTGGAAATAAAATATATATGTTTTCTTTTAAAATTTGTCTTGTGGCACCTTTTTTTTTTTAATGTAAAAATTTTTGATTTTTTAGTAGATAAATTTGGCAGTCTTTTTTTTAATGTCTTACAAATTTTTGGTAATAGCTGTAAATGTCTTTTCTTTATTTAGATTTTCTTCTAGTATTGTGTTAGTATTTTTTTTTTTATCCTCACCAGAGGACATTTTTTCATTTTTTGTTCAGAAAGAGTGGTAGGGAGGGAGAGAGAGAGAAACATTGACGTGAAAGGGACACATCGAGTGGCTGCCACCCGCATGACCAACCAGGGCCCACCAACCAGGGCCAGGGACAAACTGCAACCGAGGTACATGCCCTTAGCAGGAACCGAACCCGGGTCTCTCTGGACCGCAGGCTGACGCTCTAACCGCTGAGCCAAACTGGCCAGGGCTGTGTTCTAGTATTGTATCATTTCAATTTTGACATTGAAGTGTTTGATCCGCTTAGAACCCTCACTACACCTGTACGTGTAAAATCTTTTCAGTTCAAGCTCCACTTCTTCAACCCGCATTCTAGCTGTGTAAGTAACTCCTCCCTTCCATAAGTGGGTCTCATTCTGCTAATTAGGCCTTAAGGATTGTATAAACATTATTCAAAGCACATTTATGACACCTTTATTAGAATATTTTGTGTTTTATTTTCACTACCTGATTGAGTTGGGTCTGTTTTCTATTGTATGAAAACTGTTGTTTGATATATTTTGTATCTTTTTATATTTAAGGTAGGAGGGTAGGTTGTTATTGGTGATGGCCAGAATTTGAAGTGAGAGTTGGAGATTTTAATAACGCTTTCACCCATTGATAGAATGAGTAGAGAAACATTAGTGTAGATGTAAATGACCTCAGTAGTACTGCGATACTGAGATAGATAACCACCTTCATCTGAGTGATGTTTATAGTACATTATCTCAGCATTGGTAAAATGCACTTTCTTTTCAACTGTGTGTTTTGTTCACAAAATAGACCATAGCTTGGGCTATTAAAAATATCTCTGTTGCTACAGAAAGGATTAAAATCAGACAGAGAATGTTCTCTGACCACAATGAGCTTACATTAGAAAACCATAACAAGGTGATACCTAGAAAAATTCCAAGTTTTTGGAAATTAACACTTCTAAACATTCAATTTGTCAAAAAAGAAATCACAAGGCAAATTAAAACTATTTTAAATTGAAGGATAATGAAAGTACAAAATTTTCTAGGGTAAAGTTAAAGCAGTACTTAGAGGGAAATTTATAGCTTTACATGTTTACATCAGAAAAGAAGGTCTGAAATCAGTGACTTAAGGCTCTACTTTATGAAAAAAGAGAGAGCACAGTAAATCCTGAATAAGTAGAAAGAAGAAAATAGTAAAAGATAAGGGCAGGAATTAATGAAATAGGAAATAGAAAACAGAAAAAAGGCTAAGTTGATTTTTAAAAGAGAACACTAATGACCAGTATCATGAAAGGAGGCGTGGTTATCACATCAGTCTTCAATAAATTCAAGCCTTGGTGGAGGCAGCTTTCCTCAGCTGAGGCGTCCTGCAGAGGCCAGTGGCTGAGGGCTGTTTATCAAAGATAAAAGCTTTCAGTCCTGAATCCCTCTTTAAACACTAATAGTGTTTTATTGCTTATAGCTTCTTGAGCACACTACTATTTTTTCCGCCGTGCCGTTTTTCCGTTTGTTTTTGTCACATTAAATTTAATGTTCTCTGCTCCTCCTTGAACTAGAGATTCACAGAACATCCACTCCAGTTTCTTTGATCTTGCCCGTTTCCCCCCATCCTTGAGGTCAGACATACTTTATTGTTTTTGTAATCCATAATGTGTGTCTGTATGTTGCACTTAGTCTTCTGTAAATACCTGCGTATGGGTCATTCTCTACTGTTAGAGTTTGGGAATATGGGTTGTGACAGAGTCTCTAGCACAGTACCTGGAACACTGTGTTTTTTGAATGATATTCGTATGGGAAAATACCTTAAGTTCCAAATAGCTGAATTATATGAATTAGGATCACAATTTTGTGTATGTGATTTAAAATGCATGAATTTCTTCTATTGTTGCAGTTTGATGAGCTTCCTAAATTGTTATGAAAATTATTGGAGAATTTTGAATATTGTCCATGATTGTTAGAAATACTTTACATTGAAGTGTTGACCAGTTCTTTTAAAGGTTGTGGAGGAAATAGAATAGGTGTTTAGGTTTGTTTTTATGTGAGGTGACAGTATATTGTGGTAGCTAATGTGCTTCATTCGGCTAGCATTCTGAAAGCATACTTTCGTTTAAGCAGCGACTGAAGAAACTGTGATTGTAAATATGTTTACTGTCTAACAATCACTGATTACGCTAACCTTGGTTATGAATAGTGTATTCTTTAGTTCTTAAATCTTCAGATACCCTCTGGTAAATATGATTCAGAATTAATTAACAGTACTATTCAATCTTTTTAGTTGTCATAGTGGCACTTTGAAGAAATATGCTTATAATCTTTGCCTGGGGGTTCCATAGTTGATCTCTACGTTTGGATGACTGTGCTGCTTGACAGTGAGGATGTTTTCTTGGTAACTTGAGAGCCCTGCAGAGGAGGTGACCGAGCGAGCCTTCACGACCGTGTTGTCGGCATATGTTTGAGGGAGAAGTGAGACGTGTCCGTTTCTCCAGTTATGTTAGCACCAGGCTTCTGGCTAAAACAATTTAATATATTTTCGGTTTATGCTTGATCTTATAGCTAAATTTAATTCTGTTTAAACTGTAATGAAGTGTTTTCCTTCCTTTCTTAGCTTAGATAAATGCTATAGCATTTCAGTAAATCTTTCTGAAGTAAAATTGGAGAAAAAATATTTTGAGAGTTATAATTTTCTTTTAGCTGCGAACAGAAAATAGTATATGAACCTCTTAAAACATTTTAAGATGACAACTAATCAGAATTCAGTCAAAAGGAGTGCTGTTATGTGTAAGCGTGTCTGTAAAGTAGATAGGCCGTGTCTATTTCACTACCTTTCTAGTAACCAAACTTTTTCCTCCTTTTCTCTTAGGTTCTTGATTATCACAGACCATTTTCTGAAAAGCCCGGAATTGGTGAAAGCCATGTATGCCAAAATGAGCAATCAAGAAAGGTAACCCCAAAAACCAGTGTGGTTTTGAGTATTTAGCATTCCATATAGAATATCCTGTACACATGACTGAAAAACTGTGTGGTTTCTTAGTTGGCACAAAATCTCTAAATACATGTTTCTGTGTCAGTAATGGTTTTAAATTGGTTGGTTAACATTACAGCTCAGCCACAACAGGCAGTGATTAACGTGGGGCTGCAGAATCCAGGTTGGCGCCATTGTTCAGTGAAGCTTATTAAAAACGTTGGGAGCACAGTGTTATGCTTGTGCCGTGATTTTATTATAGTAATTCATGCAACTAGATACCACAGCTGTATATTTGAAGAGAGCTCATTTGTCCACCTCACTGGTATACTGGTCGGGATGTCCTCTGCCAGGGGTGTAGTTTCCGATGGGTAATTCAGCCGAGAGAGTCAGTGCCCTCGGCGATGTCACCGCTGTGGGGCAGGACGAGCAGTGAGTGCCCTCCGGAGCCGGCCGGGGCTCCCCGCCTCGTGATAGAAAGTCTTCATGTCACTGTAGCCAGGGTCCTTGACCTGTAGAGCTAGAGGATTGGAAAAAAAGATTCACAGTTCTCTTTCCATTCCAAACCTTATTGGAAATGTTGTCTTAGGAAAATAAAACTTCCTCAGAAATCTTATGATCAGAAGCTTCAAAAACGTCACTCTTCTGATTGTAGTCACAATTTTTATAATTGCTGTGGTTTTGAAATTGTCCCTGTGTATCTGGGTCTAACGATAAGGTTCACGCACTCCTTTGTAGTTATGTTAAGTAGTGATTTTTCTTCTTTAATATTGTTAATAAAAAATAATCATTTATGCTTTTAAAGTGAATTTAAATGCCATGTTTATAAATTCATGCCCCCCTGCCTCCACCACATAGGTATGCATTTTTTCCTGAAAAAGAATTATTCGTAGTTTTTTTTACCTGAAATAAGTAACATGATGAGCAGTGCCATAGATTATCATTGCTTTGCAGTAAGGACCACAACGAGTAGAATACGGAGTTTAATTGTTTGTTTGTTTTTTAATCCTCACTTGAGGACATTTTTTCATTTTTTGTTCAGATAGAGTGGGAGGGAGAGAGAGGAAGAGAGAGAGAGAGAGAAACGTCGATGCAAAAGAGACATACTGACTGGTTCTCCCCTGCACGACCCCGACCAGGGCCAGAACCAAACCACAACCAAGGCACATGCCCCTGACCGGAATCAAACCCGCGGCTCTCTGGTCTGTGGGCCGACACTCCAACCTCTGAGCCAAACAGACCAGGGCAAGTGATCTGTTTTTAACTGATCCATTATCTAAGTAGATGCGGATGACAGAAAAACGTTTTCATTTACAAAAGTACATGTTTATATTGATTTGTTTTAAGAGAGAGAAGAAGGGAGAGAGAGACAGAAACATCCATGTGAGAGAAACATTGATCGGCTGCCTCCTGCACGCCCCCTACTGGGGATCTAGCCTGCAACCTGGGCACGTGCCCTGACCAGGAATTGAACCAGGACCTCTCAGTCCACTGAGCCACACTGGCTGGGCAGAAAGCTTTTATTTTTATTTATAAAATAGTTTTAGCTGCTGCTTTTCTACTTCATGTAAGCTTTCTGCTCAAGCGTTATCTCCTCTTCCTCTAGTTCTCTCCCAAAAGAGAAGTGCTGTAATCTCACCATGTACTTGGTCATACACTGGACTGTGTCGTGTACCTGCTGGCTGCTGCATGACACCAGCTGTGTGAGGTTAGGGTGTGATCTCTCTTATTCCCTGGTGTCCACGCTTCCCAGGCACTGCTTGGCATAGAACAGGTGCAAAATAAAGGCATGAGTAAATGAATGGATTTTCTTACTCAAGAAAGGTTTACTTAGTGTACTGGTTAGTGCAGTATCATCTGCTGCGTGAGAAACCTCGGTCGCCCTCTGCCCCGCCGTCTCCACTTCCAGTGAGCCGCACTGGGACTTCCGCTCCGTGCCTCGCGGGTTCCTCTCTTTGTCACAGCTCTGATACCCTTAGATCGTCTTTGACCAGACTGCTAAATATACGTAATATCAAGTTGGCCATCTTGACCATTTTAAACTGTATAGTTCAGTAGTAGTAAGTATATTCACATTGTGGAAACAATTTCTAGAACGTTTTCATCTTGCAAACAGAGACTGTACTTCCCCCTTCCCCCTCACAACCACCGCTCTACTTTCTGTCTCGGAATTTGACTATATCCCGTAGAAGTGCAGTCACACAGTATGTGTCCTTTTGTGACTGCCTGTTTCACTGAGCGTGATGTCCTCAAGGTCCACCCGTGTTGTTGCATGTGCCCGAGTTCCCTTCCTCTTTAAGGCTGAGTCACATCCCGCTGTGTGCACGCAGCACATTCTGCTTATCTGGTCATCCACCATGGACATTGGGTCACTCCCACCTTTCAGCCAATGAGAAGAGCGCTGCTGTGAACATGGGTTAGTATGAGAAGTCTGATTGCTTTATTTTTGTTTTTCTCCTGTTATCTCCTGTCCGGCCAGCATGGGTCTTGCCCTGCCGTGTTAGTGCATGCATAACCTCTTGCGGGATGCAGTTCAGTTTCGTGATAGGGTACCTGAGGCCCTTTAGAAAGCTTCATTTCCACCTCCTCCCACCTCCCCTGCCGGTCGCCACCCTGCGGCCACACACAGCTCGTCGCGGTCCTGCGGGCCTTCCCCGCGGAGTGCTGCGTGCGTGTGTTCTCTCTGGAGCACCCGACCACTGCCTCTCCTGAAGATGCTCCTGCTCTCCCGACCCTCACCGGGCCCACCACCTCCTTTCGCCTTTCTTGACTTTCCCAAGCAAAATTTTTTGCATCCTCATCTGCAGGTTTATCACTAACTCTTGCTTTTCTGCTAGAATATGTATGCGTCAGGGAAAAGACTGATTATTATGACTTCTCTGTTCTTAGCACCCACCAGAATCAAAGGGATACTCAGCTGATACCAAACACTTACGAGATGTGTCTTTGGGGGACATCTCAGATGACACTTGTGACGGCAGATGGCTCAGTCAGGGAGACGGGATGGCTCCAGCAGAGCCCAGCTCCAGCAGCAGGGTGCTGTGCAGCTCGCTGTGGGCTGGCGCGCCAGCTGCTCCTTGCTCAGGCGGTGTTGAGCTTCAGGGCCGCCACTGCTGCCGAACCGTAGCCACCACTTCCTGGTGATCTGTGTCCTTGTGGGAAGGTGTCACATAGTGACGTGGACTGCTCCGGGCTGCTGACACCCTGGAAGCAGGCCTGTAAGGAGCTGCTGGTGCCGAGGGCAGGGCAGGAAGTGGACAGTCTCCGGGCTAGTCACTTTGCCCTGGTAACAGGCAGAACTGTGAGCCGTGCCGCCACCCTCTTTCTCCAGGTCTCTGTCCTTTGTTTGGTGACAGCCATCATTTTATTGTGGCTTCACTAGAGCACTAGTCTCTGGAGTGGGTCGTGCAAAACGGGCCTGTTGAGTATGGCCAGATATAAGAACATTACTTCTATTTACTTGTTATCTAAAAAAATAAGAAAGCACCCTGGCCGGTTTGGCTCAGTGGTTAGAGCGTTGGCCTGCGTTCCAGAGAGACCTGGGTTCGATTCCCGCTAAGGGCGTGTACCTCGGTTGCAGTTTGTCCCCGGCCCTGGTTGGTCGTGTGGGTGGCGGCCACTTGATGTGTCCCTTTCATGTCAATGTTCCTCTCTCTCTCTTCCTCTCTCTCCCTCCCACTCTGTCTGAACAAAGGGTGGAAAAGTGTCCTCGGGTGAGGATAAAGAAAAAAAAAAGGTAAGAAAGCAACTGAGCTTTATTAATAATTAATATTTAGTTTGACAGTTATAGGTCATCTGTAAATTGCATATTTCGGAGGTGTGTGATGAAAATTTTTTAATTGATCAAGAAAGCTTGGAGAATACCAAACTGCAGTATGCTATGGCTAGATTTTTTTGTTTCTGTGGAGCGTCATTCTTTATTTTCTTAAAAAATATCTTTATCGATTTTTTTTTTAGAGAGAGAGGAAGGGGGAGGGGGGAGAGAGAGAGAGAAGCATCGATGTGAGCGTGAAACATCAGTCAGCTGCCTGCCTCCTGCACGGGCTCGAGCCTGAGACCCTGGCAGGTGCCTGGACCAAGACTTTGTGCACAGGATCATGCCCAACCAACTGAGCCACACGGGCCAGGGCTCATTCTTTCTCTTTAATTGAACTTACATTTAGTGAGTTTCTATGGTGTGTGAAATGCTGAGAACACCAAAGTCACCCAGCACACTAGTATTCAAGAAGGGGATACTGCTTTTAGTTGCATTATTTTGTCACATAGGTGATGGTAACATTGTCATTCTGGAGTAACTGTCAAAAACAATCACAGTCCCTGATGTTTTGGGTGCAGCAGAGCTATGCCCAAGGCCAGCGGAAGGCGGAGCTCAGGGAGGCTCAGCAAGGCTGTCCCAGGACGGGTGGCAGGAGGAGGGACTGCTGTCCTTGGCATCGGATGGCAGTTACAGCCTTCCAGGCACAGTGGGGTGTCAGGGTGGTATTCCAGGGCCAGACCTTGTTCTCACAGTGCTTGTTTTATATGAGCATATGTGTGAGTCAGACATTTAGCATTTCATTGACCACATCCTAAATGTAACAAGTGTCATGAAAGAACCACCCTCCCCTTTCTTCTACACTTGGTGCTAAGGTTAGTAATTGCTTTTACTATGAATACATTGTCAGTGAAAGCATTTACAGTTTTTCCTCTAACAGACTTGTACACAACACTTGTTAGGTAAGTCAGGCACTGTCCTAAGCACTACAAACATAGCTCGGTCACACATCAGCCTTAGAAGGCTGCACCGTGCTGGCCCTGCATGTACACGTGGCCGCTGAGGAAGAGGGTTAGGTGTCTTGTTCAAGGCCCCGCCGCAGTGGCCGGCGGAGCAGGCAGCCTGGCTCTGGAGGCTGTCTTCATGGCCACTGCACTGTGCCCCCTGCCGAAGGCCCTTCCTGTCGGGTGCTCTGTTCTACGCAGCATCTTGAGACACCCAACCA